GAAGAAACAGGAGTTTATTCTTGTACAGTTTGGAGGCTTTAAGTCCAAGTTCAAAGTGCCAGGCTCTAGGACCTGGGTGAAAGCCCCTCAACCTTGGGGTCCAGATCTGCCTCCTGCTCCCGGCCCACTGGAGCTAGAGGCTTCTCTTCACTTAGACAGCTGCTGGCTGCTGAGGCTGACAAACCCAAGGTTGACAAGTAAAAAGGCACAGTCCCGATGTTACCAAACCACACGGCAGGCCATTAATTCAAGTCCATTGTAAGTCCCAAGGTCGGCAGAGCATGGCAGGCTGCTGAACAACGACACGGCTACATGCAGGGTCCAAGTGTGCCATAAGGTAGAAACCATTCCCAAAGCTGATGCTTATATACAGGAAGCAGACCACATACCCAAAACAGCTTCTCAGCTGCTCCAATACATTCCACCATGGAGTTAATTACCAATCTTACCATGGGGAATAACTACATCCAACTGCCCAGCCACTCAACCAGGCCTAGCCAAGTTGACACACAAACGTAACTACCACAGCCACCTCCTGAAATGGATGAACATAGACCAGTTCTTTCTGGTAGTGACTTTGTGTATTCCTTCCATCTTCTTTTGATATTTCCTGCATCATTCAATACACTGCCCGTAGAATCTTTCAATATTGCAACTCGAGGCTTAAATTTTTTTCTTCAGTTCTTCCCTCTTGAGAAATGCTGAAGGTGTTCTTCCCTTTTGGTTTTTTGACTCCAGGTCTTTGCGCATTTCATTGTGAAAAACTGACTTAGTCTTTTTGGGTTGATCTTTGAAATCTTCTGTTTAGCTCTTTCATCTTGTCATTTCTTCCATTTGCTTTAGCGACTCTCCATTCAAGGGCAAGTTTCCGAGTCTCTTCTGACATCCATTTTGGTCTTTCCTTCGTTTCCTGTCTTTTTAATAACCTGTTGTTTTCTTCATGGATGATGTTCTTGATGTCATCCCACAATTCCTCTGGTTTTGGTCACTGGTGTTCAATGCATCAAATCTATCCTTTAGATGGTCTCTAAATTCAGGAGGGATAGAATCAAGGTCATATTTTCGTGCTCACGTGGACTTACTTTAATTGTCTTCAGCTTCAATTTGAACTTGCATATGACTAGTTAATGGTTTGTTCCACAACTGGCTCTTGGACGTGTTCTGGCTGAAGACACTGAGCTTCTCCATCGCCTCTTGCCACAGATGTAGTCAGTTTGATTCCATCCATATGTGTACTCCATATGGCAAAGTCCACATATATAGCCATCATTTGTGTTGTTGAAAAAGGTATTTGCAATGAATAAGTCATTGGTCTTGCAAAATTTCTCCAGGATTATTTCTATCACCAAGGCCATATTTTCCAAGTACCAGTGATTCTTCTTTGTTACCAACTTTCGCATTCCAACCACCAGTGATAATCAATACATCTTGATTGCAGGTTTGGTCAATTTGAGACTGCAAACGTTAGTAAAAATCTTCAATTTCCTCATCTTTGGTATTGGTGGTTGGTGTGTAAATTTGAATAATAGTAGTGTTAACTGGTCTTTCTTGTAGGCATATGGATATTATCCTATCACTGACAGTGCTGTACTTCAGGATAGATCTTGAAACATTGTGATGATGAATGCCAAGCCGTTCCTCTTCAATTTGTCATTCCCAGCATAGTAGATCATATGGTTGTCCAATACAAAATGGCCCAAATCAGTCCATTTCAGCTCACTGATGCCTAGGATATCAATCTTCATGCATTCCATTTCATTTTTGATCACTTCCAATTTTGCTAGATTCATACTTCGTACATTCCTTGTTCTGATTATTAATGGATGTGTGCAGCTGTTTTGTCTCATTTTGAGCAGTGCCACATCTGCAAATGAAGGTCCTAAAAACTTTCCTCTGTCCACTTCATTAAGGTTGGCTCTATTCTGAGGTGTCAGCTCTTCCTCAGTCATACTTTGAGTGACTCCCGACCTGAGGGCCTCATCTTCCAACACCATATTGGACAATGTTTTAGGGCTTTTCAT